ACATCAGAACCCAAAGTCAGATTGCCGTCAAAACCCAATGTCAGACTGTCGTCAAAACCCAACGTCAGATTGACGTCAGAACCCAACGTCAGAACCCAACGTCAGATTATCGTCAAAACCCAACGTCAGATTGACGTCAGAACCCAACGTCAGAACCCAACGTCAGATTATCGTCAAAACCCAACGTCAGATTGACGTCAGAACCCAACGTCAGATTGACGTCAGAACCCAACGTCAGAACCCAACGTCAGATTATCGTCAAAACCCAACGTCAGATTGACGCCAGAACCCAACGTCAGATTGTCGTCAAAACCCGACGTCAGAAACCAACGTCAGATTGACGTCGGAAACCATCGTCAAATTGACGTCAATCCCCAACGTTGGACAGACATTGCATTTTGGGTGAAAATTAAAATCGGGTTGACGTCAGAACCCATCGTCAAATTGACTTCAATCTCCAACGTTGGACAGACATTGCATTTTGGTTGAAAATGAAAATCGGGTTGACATCAGAACCCATCATCAAAGTGACATCAATCTCCAACATTGGACCGACGCTGAATTTTGGTTGAAAATGAAAATCGGGTTGACATCAGAACCCAAAGTCAGATTGCCATCAAAACCCAACGTCAAATTGACGTCAGAACCCAACGTCAGATTGTCGTCAGAACCCAACGTCAAATTGACGTCAATCTCCAACGTTGGACAGACGTTGCATTTTGGTTGAAAATGAAAATTGGGTTGACGTCAGAACCCAACGTTTAATTGATTTCAATCTCCAACATTGGACAGATGTTGCATTTTGGTTGAAAATGAAAAATTCAACATCTGTCCAACTTTAGAGGTTGACGTCAATCTGACATTAAGTTCTAATGTCAACCCGATTTTCGTCAACATCCAACGGTGGACAAACATTGCATTTTGGTTGAAAATTAAAATCGGGTTGACTTCAGAAACCAACATTAAATTGATTTCATCCGCCAACGTTGGACAGACATTGCATTACATCCTTTTTGAAACTGGCCATTACCACATTTTCATCAACCTGTGAATACAAAAGGAAGAGGAGTTGAATGTCCAAATAATTAATTATACATAACACATTATGAACCGCTTGTTATAGTTTGTGCTAGGTTTGTGATATCTAATCTAGATGTCACATTGGTTCTAGATGGAAGATCATGGGCCCACCCAAACTGCTAGATTTTATCATCTGGAGACAAATGATTTCACTCAATTTCAAAACCTAAAACCTTCCTGGTGTTGATGCTAAAAGGCAGTGAGGATGTGAACTCAGAAGAATCTCTAAACATTTACTTGGGTCTGTTGTGAGTTCCAAGTTAACAAAGGCTATTCATTTTTGACTTTTAATTTAAGGAAAAGTGTTTATTTTACAGTTAACTTGTTGGTATTTAATAATGATTGATAGGGGCCTTGCAGGAGTGTTTAATTCCGAAAAACTAATTTACTTATTTTATTTCTTCCTTTGCTTATTTATCTTATTTCTATATTTTTTATTATAACCAGATGTTCTCTTATGTTTCACTCAACACTAGGGGTCTAAGAGATTCTGTTAAAAGGAAATCTATTTTTCTTTTTTGTAAAAATGAAAAAGCGCAATGTTTTCTTCTCCAAGAAACTCATTCTGTTGACTTGGATGAAAAATTCTGGTCAAACCAATGGGGAGATAAAATACTTTTTTCTCATGGTTCTAATAGGTCCGCAGGTGTTGCCGTACTTTTAAATAATTTTCCTGGGAAGATTTTAACCACTATTAGGGATACTTGTGGTCACTGGATAATTTGTGTTTTTGAAATAAATCTTAGGCCCATAACCCTGCTTAATAATGATTATAAGATTTTAACTCATATTTATGCTAACAGATTAAAAACCGGAGTTTCACAGATTATTTCAGAGACACAGTCAGGTTTTTTGAAAGGCCGCTCAATTCATAATAATATACGACTTGTGCTTGATTTACTGGATTATAATTATTTAATTGAAGATGGTTTCATTTCATTTCTAGACTTTTTTAAAGCTTTTGACACTACTGAACACAAATGTATGTTTCGTACTTTAGAATTATTTGGTTTTGGAGAAAGACGGGCGTGGTGCCTCAGCTTCTTCTTCTTCTTGTTAGTTTTATGGCGGATTTCAACCATAACTTATCAGGTGCATACCGCCACCTACTGTATCGGAGTATGCAGCATGGATTATATCTCAATGAATGCACTTTACATTATCACAAAAAAAATAAATAAATAAATATATATATTATAGCTCTACTATCTAAATCCTATAATATACCCCTGTATCCTTCAGATGTTCCACAACAGCATCCTGTGCATCTTTAACCCCTTCTCCTGTTGTTCCCAAAACACCCTCAAGGTTCCATTTTCTTCCTGTCTGACTTATCTTTTGGCTTACGCGCCTCAGCTTCACCCACGCCCCGCCTTTTTGCCCATTTTCGAATATCCGGGAGTGACGCGCGGTGACGCGCTGCCAAGAGGCCGACGGTCGGCTCCGCCCACTTTAGGCTCTCTTCACAAATGCTCCTCTGAACCCTACGAGTGACGTCACGGACACTGCGTCCATGTTTTTTTTCCAGTCTATGGTGGCGACATGTGCGCTATATTTGATAACAGAGCAGCGTGCGGACACGCCCTCTTGTCATCGCAGTGAAGGGGCGGGGCTTCGGTTCTGCAGTCGCTAAAAAGATGGCAACGTCCATCGCGCTCAGCCTGGATAACTTACCGTCTGATCCCTTACTGCTGGTGCTGTCATTTCTGGACTTCCGAGATCTGATAAGGTAGACATTCAACTTGAGCCTTTCTGTCAGTCCGTGCAATAATAAACACGCTTGTTTGTTTCTTGAATGAGCTTGAAAAAGAATATTCGCTGCACAGTTAGCTGGCAATGCTAACAGCATAGCTTATGATGTTACTCAGGCAGGTACTGTTGATAGACAAATGCGATAATACGGCGATAATTTTCGTTTTCAATCACTATGAAAAGACACGCATCTGTGTTAACTGTACACCCGATCATCTCATGAATCTTATGTTTGAAGACAGAAGTGCATGACTTCATGTAAGTTGACTAGTGCGATAAAGCGGCTATAGACAGGCAACACAAAAGCTTTATTTCTGCTGCAACCGCCCGCTGAAGGTAGTTGTTTGTGCTTTGGGGATCATAAGTAGAGTTATGCTTTTGATGATAAATGTTTTGGTCTTGGAAATGGGCAGTGATGATCACGTGACGCTGGTCAGCTAGAACTTTGTGTGACACTGCCAGTGTGACTTTTCCCTCCGTTTAAAGCAGCTACTGTAAAGACAGAAGCTTTACATCTTGTCATCAGTGTTTAAAGGATACATTTGGTAGATACTTTTAACCAAAGTGAATTACGTTGCACTCAAGATCTCCTACCCCCCTCCCCCAAGAAATGGGTGTGTAAAGCTGTGGAAGAGTGGGAGTGTAGAGGGTGGGAAGAGGGGAGAAAACAACTAATAAAACACAGAACTAAAACACACTCATTATACAGACAAATGCATATTAAAATATGAGCAGAGGAGGGAAAAAACAGAGTTAAAGATCTCCTACCCCCCTCCCCCAAGAAATGGGTGTGTAAAGCTGTGGAAGAGTGGGAGTGTAGAGGTGGGAAGAGGGGAGAAAACAACTAATAAAACACAGAACTAAAACACACTCATTATACAGACAAATGCATATTAAAATATGAGCAGAGGAGGGAAAAAACAGAGTTCGGGGCCACCTAGATTTTATAAAACATAACCCAATGATAAGTAACTCAAGAAATCTTATCATTAGAGACTAGCCTACTAACAACTATCATGAACAAATCAAATATGTTTACATTCATTTTTATTTGAAATGTAAACAAATCAGCATTATAACTTTGCAGAGTATGGGGTATGGGCTAGTATATGAAAGATTAAGAAGATAATTTAAAAGGTCTAATATTTTCACTATGTTGACCAGCACTACAGTGTCTGGAAAAAATGACACCCAGTTTAACATGGAAAAAATAAAGGCATAGTTACTTTTTTTGTCCACTCTTTGAATTTTCAGTCTAATATCATTGTTAGCCATGTATCACAATAATCAGTCTTGTCATCGTGTTCATGATCAGACATATAACTCTGTATCAGTCCTTATTTTGCAAATATTTCCTTTAACAAAGACATGACATTTTTTTCCTGCACATAACATAAAGAAAATCAGTATTAAGTTATTACATTTCTTTTGCTTACCTTTTTACTACATGTAAACAGTTGTACTTTGAAAAACTGCAAATATAAAATATATAAGACTTTAATAAATGTACAATACCATAGTCCTCTTGAGGAGCACACCCAGCTTCTAGTATATATATTTTTTATTTTGTACTTAGTTATTATTATTGTTGTCGTCAAGTTCTATATTCAGCACAATATTGCCCATTTTAAATTTGAGCTATTATTAAATAGCCTAGTATATATATGGGATTTTTGTTGTCTCTAGTAAAGGGAACGTTGTTATTTAACTTTAACATTGCAATTTTATATAATGGATATGGTTTGTAAGGCTTTTCTTTACACTCCAAATTAAATAAATACATTTTAATTAATTAAAAAAACTTTAAAAAATTAGGGACAGTGTATGTAAATTCAATATGATGTATTTTGAATTTTGCACTGCATTGTGTTTTAGGTTTATCGGAAATCATATTAAAATTAACCATGATTTTATGACACTAACCTTTTAACCATACATTTGTAGTTGTGGGTTAAAAAAAATGACAATCAATCCATGGTTACTGCACTTTTACTATAGTAAAACCATTGTTAATTTCCATAAGGGAAAATGTATGTCCTGACAGAAAAGTATAAGTACATTTTACTCTTTTTTTTTTTATTTTTTTTTATTTTTTTTTTTATTTCAAGCATAATCATATGCTAGTTACACAAATATCCTTAAATGTCAAATTTACTTAAATATGCCTTGATGAACGAAACCATAAAATATTTGAATTCTAAGAGGTTAATGGAAGTTTCTGCTGTGACTACTAAATATAGGCTAGACGTGCTTCAAAGTAGCTAACACTACTGTTTACATGTAGTAATATGAAAGATAATAAGCAAAAGAAATGTAATAACTCTTCATTATGTTATGTGCAGGAAAAAAAACACGAACTTCTGTGGAGAGTATTGATCGCATAGTAGGTGGCCGTAATGCACCGTAACGTTGGATGCCACCCGCCATAAAACATGAAGAAGAAGAGTAATGTTCGCGCTGCGCTGTCAGTTCGGTGGCGCTAGTAAACACGTCCTCTCTGCGCTGTCAAGTCGGTCGCGCGAACACTTTAATACCGCGCTGTTTCGTCCCACATTTGGGTTGTTTGGCTTCCCATAGAAAGCGCTCTCTCATGAGCGTGTTGTTACCAAGTGCCAACCTCCCTCTCTCTCCTGAAGCCAACAAGGAAGTGACTTAAACTGTAATTCATCGACTGGCCGCTAGAGGTTGGCTGCAAACGGGAGTCAATCCCATAGACTCCCCATGTTAAAATGCCCAACTTTACAGCAGAAAAAAACATGTTTACAGCCTGGTTCAAAAAATGATTTTGGTCTATATAGGTAATTTTGCCCTTCATGACAACTGTGAGGGGGGTGCATTTTTTTTATAAGTCATCCATTTAAATTATATTAAGCCTTAAAGTTCTGCATAATTAAGGGCGTGGCCACTTGAGTTACAGGTGGATTGGCGCTGCTGTCACCACCGTCGAGCTAGGTGGGTGTGGTTTCAGCAACCAGCTCCTGCCTTTTTGCCCATTTTCGATTATCCGGGAGTGACACGCGGTGACGCGCTGCCAAGATGGCGACGGCTGGCTCCGCCCACTTTTGAGCTTCAAAAACCTCTTCTGGAACCTACGGGTGACGTCACGGACACTACGTCCATGTTTTTATACAGTCTGGGGTTGTTACCTATTAATAGGGTGACCGTATGTGCCATTTTCCCAGGACGCGTCCTGGCCAGGATTTCAATATTGCCTAAAATATCTAGGTTTTGGCTTTGTTTGCGTGTGCAGACCGATTGGTGTATGACATCAAAATACCATACAGATGGTTCCTTATGCTTTCAAAATGCTCTCGAGGTATTTATCGGGGCAATATAGAAATTCTGGCCAGGACGCGTCCTGAGAAAATGGCACGTATGGTCACCCTACCTATTAAATATTGTTACGGTCATGTTTACAGAAGTGAACTAACAGCGCGGAAACTCTTTCGTGAGATTTGAATCCTCTGCTGTTATACGACCTCATGCATACTACACTCTTAAAAATAAAGGTGCTTCAAAAGGTTCTTCACAGCGATACCATTTTTGGTTCCACAAAGAACCATTCAGTCAAAGGTTCTTTAAAGAACCATCTCTTTCTTACCTTTTTATAATCTTTTGTGAAACAGAAAGGTTCTTCAGATGTTAAAGGTTCTTTATGGAACCATTTAGACAAAAAGGTTCTTCTATGGCATCGTGAAGAACCTTTATTTTTAAGAGTGGACAGCGCAGTGACTGGATCATAAGAGTTCATTCTCATGAATAAATGCTTTTTTTATATTTAAAAAAAAACAGGTGAAAATATACAAACACATTCAGGAGAACATTAACAAGTATTAAAAGAGACATTTGTATGTAACATCAAAGTAAGAAGTAAGAATAATCATATACATATGCACACATACTGTATACATACCCCTTTGTGTCTTACTTTTCCACTTCGTAAATACCCTACAATAAGGAAACAGAGATAGAAAACTAAAATGAAACCGGTAAAAAAAAAAAAAACCAATGAAAGAAATTTCACAAATTAACAGTTCAGGGTAATAGAATCATACAGTTAGCTAACATGAATTAGTATTAAAAGAGACATTTGTATGTAACATCAAAGTAAGAAGTAAGAATAATCATATACATATGCACACATACTGTATACATACCCCTTTGTGTCTTACTTTTCCACTTCGTAAATACCCTACAATAAGGAAACAGAGATAGAAAACTAAAATGAAACCGGTAAAAAAAAAAAAACCAATGAAAGAAATTTCACAAATTAACAGTTCAGGGTAATAGAATCATACAGTTAGCTAACATGAATTAATTTCAAGCAGAAGCTAATTAAAGCGATTATTACAAGTATGATCATAATGATTACAATATAGAGAAAATTTGTCAGCTGTGCATATCGATTCAAGCTGGCGTCATCCGGGGTCCTCGCAGGGGACAGCATCATCTCTTCTTTCTATGAGGCTGGATCCATGCTGGAGCTGGTGTCATCTCTAGATACCTCGAGATGGGCATCCCGGGGTAGGAACAGAAAGGCAGATGGAAAAGAATTAGAGTAGCTGCTGTTCATAACATTTCAAGCAAAAAATATGTTTGTGACTTTTATCTGCTCTAACTGGGAACAAGGGTGAGATTGAGGTTTAGACCATTTAGTGCCTTATAGGTCAGTAGCAATATTTTGAACTCAATACGGAACTTAATATGTAACCAGTGTAGAGATGATAAAATTGGGGTAATATGATCATATTTTTTTGACCTGGTAAGAACTCTAGCAGCTGCATTTTGGACTAACTGTAGCTTGTTTATTGAAGATGCTGGACAACCAGCTATAGTAGTGCATTACCGTAATCTAGTCGAGAGGTCATAAATGCATGAACTAGCTTTCTGCGTCAGAAACAGATAACATGTTCCGTAGCTTAGCAATGTTTCTGAGGTGGAAGAACACTGTTCTTAATCTCCAGCCACAGGAGCCAATCAGCACTCTGAATTAACGCATATGTCACTTTTCATGACGTTGGTTCAACTTCGCTTTTTAAACTGTAAGAACGAAATTACTCCAAGAAATTAACAAAAATAACCACTTTTCCCTTAACACTAAACATAATGTGTGCTATAGCCTGTACATATCTGTTGACATCTCAAAAAATGTGTTTTAGTGTTTCATGACCCTTTAAGTTAGTTAAGTTTACAAATTTTGCCTTAACTTTAAACTGCTTTTTTCCCCATGCCATCTCCATCTTAAACAGCTAACACAGAAATGATTACCTGTTTTCTGTAATTCATTTCTCCATTTCCAGCAATTGCCTGTCTTTCAAGTATTGTGGTGATATATGCATATTTTTATTTATACAACTGTACAGTAAATAATGCACAAATCTGTACATAAATCTTCTGTTCCAGACTTTACCACATTATTATTTTTTACTTATTATTTTCAACAAATTCCTTGTGTGTTTGCACACACTTGGCGAATAAAGCTAATTCTGATTCTGATTCATTTATTCTTCCTTAATGGTTTGAGAATAGCTGTCATTGCCAAAGTTGTTTGAGAAAAAAATTAGATTTTTTTTATTTATTTAACAGTTAAAAGCCTCCAAGTTAATTTCAGTTGTGTTTTTCTTCACATGTAATTACCAATGCAGACATCATCAAAAGTCCATCACAATTACACTTTGTACCACATTATACAAAAATCCACGTGAAGGCTGACCAAGGCCATGATCAGATCTTTGTGTTTTAATAGATTAAGCATTGCCTGAATAAGTCACCTTTTCAACATCTCAAGTTGTCAAAAGTGTTTGCGTTGATCTGGCTTGTTCTTTTCTCAGCTGCAGTTTTGTAAGTCGTCGACTCAATGAGCTGACAGGCCATAACCCCCTATGGAAGAGACTTTGTCAGAAGCACTGGTTCCTTACAGAGTAAGCTCACTCCTCATGCCCTCAGAAGCATTTGGTTCATTTATGGCATATGCGTTTTTCTGTCCAATTTTTTTTTTTGTTACATTTTTAGATTTGTTGTAATCAAAATATATTGTTGATGACAAATTATTTTTTTTTTCGTATTCAGGGCAGACAAAAGTCACAGAGGCCTGGCATGGAAGGAGCTGTTTCGGGAGTATTATGCTGATCTGGGCCGTTATATTGACGATTACAGCACTCTCAAGAAAGCCTGGGATGATCTGAAGAACTACCTGAATCAGAAATGTCCCCGAATGATAGCTTCACTTAAAGGTCTGTCCACACTGTTACTCATCCAACCATATTTTGAAAACCTATGGGTGTTTTTTTTTTCATAATATGAGTGTTGTCCACTGAAGGTTTTGTTTCCTTTTCTCTGAAGAGGGAGTGAGTGAGGAAGAGCTAGACACCATTGAGGCCCAGATTGGCTGCAGACTCCCTAATGACTACCGTTGCTCCTATAGGATACACAATGGACAGAAACTTGTGGTCCCTGGGTAAGACTTCTGATAATATCCTTGATCATTTCAAAATCCTATTGAATTTCTTTCTTCTACTTTAGAAAAATACTTCAGAAAAATAAAGTATTTATTTAAATGCTTGTAACTGATTCGTGGCCTAACGGTTCGAGAGTCAGACTTGTAACCCTTAGGTCACGGGTTCGAATCGTGGGGGGGGGGGTGCTTGCGGAACGATGTATGTTATAATACATCGTGTACACTCACTAAACAAAGAGTGACAACTTTTTAGTGGTTATGAGCACACTTTGCAAGCTTTCTTGTCAATAATACATTTAAAATGTAGCCTAGAACTTTTTCGGCCACGCACACACACACGTTGCAAAGTTAGACTAGAGCACCCTCACTCATTTCAGATGTACCCTCAGTGATTATTTCTGGAACCTGGTTGATACGCTTTTATTGCAAAACTATATACAAAAACAACTAAATACAAATGCACTAAATAAAATAATTGAATAAATGCATATTTACAATTTAAGCACTTAACTAAAATAAATAGGCTATTAATAAAATAAATAACTAGAGAAGGCTGACTATAATCAGCTTGCTTCCATTTAGTGAGATAAGCCTACTCCTCACCTGAATCAGAAGAAAAGCTCTTCGTCTTCAGTGATGCGAAGACAACGTTTGAGCATGTACATGCAATATCTGAGCGAGAGCACAGCCAATTCATAAAAGAACAATATTTAAAAGCACACGTCCAGTTTTGTGTGAGTGAAGGAAATCCGCTTGGGAGTGGAGAGATTCGTCCTCACGCAAATGGATCACGTAACATTATGCGCTCTCGACATTGTCATTAAGTTCACACTATAGAAACTGCCTAAAATTAAGTATAAAGAAGAGAAGAAAGCAGCTGTGTGTGTGTGTGTGTGTGAGTGCACTTGGAAGGGTTAAATGCAGAGCACAAATTCCGAGTTTGGGACACCATAATTGGCCACACACACATCACATCACTAACTGAGTTAAATAACATTTACTGTATACAAGCAAGTGGACAAACTTCCTTTAACGTAATCAGCCTCTGATCTTAAAAACTGCCATAGTATCTTATATTATCAATGAATGGGATCAGCGTACGAACAACAAACGGTATGAAATTACCAATAATCGCTGGGATCAGAGGCCCGTTTCAGAAAGGAGGTTAAGTAAAAACTCTTGAGTATGTTAACCCTGAAATGAGGGAAACTCTGGGTTTTCAGTTTGAGAATGGAAAGTTTGTCAAACCCGAGAAAGCAGGGTATATCAAGCCCGTTTCTGAAAGCGAGGTAACTTATACTCAAAGTCAGTTACCATGGTAACTTACACTGTGAAACTAATCTGGGGTGCGTTTCCCATACAACGACGTAACTCACTGATTAACCACCATAGTACGATGCATTGTTGTGGAAACTAACTAGCTAGTCACGACTGTTTCCCGACCGCGGTCGCATCTCCGTCGTTTGATCCACATTCGTTCAACAATTTAGGGCCGTTTTTAATGACGTCACATGCATGTGGTGGAGTAATAACTTCTGCTAATTAATTGATTCGAGATTCACTAAATAAAATAATTGAATAAATGCATATTTACAATTTAAGCACTTAACTAAAATAAATAGGCTATTAATAAAATAAATAACTAGAGAAGGCTGACTATAATCAGCTTGCTTCCATTTAGTGAGATAAGCCTACTCCTCACCTGAATCAGAAGAAAAGCTCTTCGTCTTCAGTGATGCGAAGACAACGTTTGAGCATGTACATGCAATATCTGAGCGAGAGCACAGCCAATTCATAAAAGAACAATATTTAAAAGCACACGTCCAGTTTTGTGTGAGTGAAGGAAATCCGCTTGGGAGTGGAGAGATTCGTCCTCACGCACATGGATCACGTAACATTATGCGCTCTCGACATTGTCATTAAGTTCACACTATAGAAACTGCCTAAAATTAAGTATAAAGAAGAGAAGAAAGCAGCCCTAGGCAGCTGCCTACACATGCCAGGATCCGCCACTGCCAGATGCAGTTAGAAATTTACTAAAAACAAGCCTATCGCAAGACATCTGGAAGGGGGGGCACCTGGGGTGGCCAGCCAAATTTCAGGGGGGGCCGGTGCCACCCCTGGCCACCACGTAGACACGCCCTTGCTGGGTGCCACAGCAAAAATGGCTGCCCACTGCTCCGGGTGTGTGTTCACAGTGTGTGTGTTCACTACTCATTGCTCTGTGTGTGTGTGTGTGTGTGTGAGTGCACTTGGAAGGGTTAAATGCAGAGCACAAATTCCGAGTTTGGGACACCATAATTGGCCACACACACATCACATCACTAACTGAGTTAAATAACATTTACTGTATACAAGCAAGTGGACAAACTTCCTTTAACGTAATCAGCCTCTGATCTTAAAAACTGCCATAGTATCTTATATTATCAATGAATGGGATCAGCGTACGAACAACAAACGGTATGAAATTACCAATAATCGCTGGGATCAGAGGCCCGTTTCAGAAAGGAGGTTAAGTAAAAACTCTTGAGTATGTTAACCCTGAAATGAGGGAAACTCTGGGTTTTCAGTTTGAGAATGGAAAGTTTGTCAAACCCGAGAAAGCAGGGTATATCAAGCCCGTTTCTGAAAGCGAGGTAACTTATACTCAAAGTCAGTTACCATGGTAACTTACACTGTGAAACTAATCTGGGGTGCGTTTCCCATACAACGACGTAACTCACTGATTAACCACCATAGTACGATGCATTGTTGTGGAAACTAACTAGCTAGTCACGACTGTTTCCCGACCGCGGTCGCATCTCCGTCGTTTGATCCACATTCGTTCAACAATTTAGGGCCGTTTTTAATGACGTCACATGCATGTGGTGGAGTAATAACTTCTGCTAATTAATTGATTCGAGATTTCTGAGATGCTGCAGTATTTAATTTACAGGATTTACATTTAATTTAGCATGTCCTGCTAATTTACTGTGTTTTGTTTCCTGTCATTTTGCTTTATTTGAAGTTTGATTCATCGCGGGTTTCCTCTTACTTCATACTCCAGGGTTCCCTTAGGCATTTATGCACATGCGCACTCTTCAAAAAAGGCGCTTATTGAGGATGCGCTAAAATTGATCAATTAAAAATGTATATATATTTTAATTGAATTGAAGATATAGATTGTACTGCATGTTAGCTTGCTTATTGTGCCCAAAAGCAGAATTTATTTAAGTCCATATGTCTTACTAACAAGAAACTATGCTTCTAACCACAGGTCGAGAGCTGTAAGTAAGTTTAACTACCACGTAAGTTTGCGACGCTGTTTGCGAATGTTCGTTTGAACTATGGTTTTGGGAAACATCGAATCGTTGAACTATGTTGGTAATGACAGAACTTGCGACCATAGTTTGCTAACAATGCTTTTGGGAAATGCACACCAGGTCGAGAGCAGGTTTTCTTCGTTAAACCCAGTTTCTTTCAGTCTCCTCCTCCTTTTTAAAGCGTAAGCGATGTTTAAATACCTCATTCATTCATTCATGCTGTAGAAAATGCATTTCTTGGTGAGTATTTTGGGATCTAAATTAAGTGCATTTTAATTAAAACAAGAAAAATAATATTAATGCAAATGGAAACAAGATTATTTTTCTTATGTAGAAAATGCATCTTGATTTAAGAATCTTTAGATATTTTGACTGGAAACAACAAGACAAAAATACTAAGTAAGAAAAGTGCTGGTACATTCATTCATTGCACATATTTTCATCATGCAGACACTCTGAAAGTGACAAAAACGGCATGTCCCCTTATACTGAATCCTGTAGATGAGGAGGCTACATCAATTCATAGGGAGTTACATTTACATCACGAGAGGATTATTATAATTTTTTTTTTTTTGCCATATCCGCATGCTTATTTATTTGAGCTGTACCGTTTTTAAATGGTAGTTTTCTATATAACAAAAGGGATGCAGAGCACATTAGTAAGGCCGCTGTATGCAGAGGAAAGTGTGTCTCGCTCTAACGCTCTTTCTTATAATATTTGTGTAGTTTTCTGAGCACAAGCCCATCAAAAATGAAGCTGATTACTGTATGGAATGGAAGGATACCAGATGGACGGGTAGTTCAAGATATATGCCGTAACCACCATATCTTTATTTCCTACAAATACAAAAGCAACCGTTATTCTTTTTCCTGTTTGATTTTAATATTCTTCCAATACTTGGTATTGTGGCCATCTCCTCTTCATCTGTTCTTCATTATTTTTGCAAGCCTTCTTGCTGTTGGCTGAGTAGATGTCAAATGTTCATTTCATTTACTCTAATTAATAAATACAACAGTTTGGATTAGAGAACACTTAATTATGTGAAAAGAGCATTAGACTATGTGGAAAAACTAAAAAGCTACTGCGCACTGAAATAGACACTGAATGATATTTTTTAATATGTCAAATGCTTGTAAAGTCATGTAGCCTACACTCATGAACCTTTTATGCTTAAAGATTTACCTTGATTGAATTATGTTTTTATGCTTCATGTTTAGCTGCTTTTTTTGTTCTTTGTATTTTCTTTTGTCTGTAGGATACCATGAAATTGAATATTACTTCAATAATTTACCGTTCTGCCACTTTTTACCTTTGATATTATAACAGTCATTAAGAATTAAAATTACGTATTGACTCGAAAGTATGCAGACGTCTTTTTGTCAGGTGCTGTTGCCATGGTGATTCATAATTTCGGCGCTCCATTGATCATGGCTTTTCATAGTCGTGGTGCACGCGCTAAACTCAAGAGTCAACCTACTCGGAGTCGATTGAACTAACTCAGTCTCAGAGTTGGTTGAAACTCCTTATTGAAACAGGCCCCAGATCATATACGCACAACAGCGAATAGGACATTCCAGAATCACACAAGTTGGATCAAATGAAGATCCACCAATATGCTCCTCACACCAGATTCCAATATCATTTTCAATATCAATATCATAACATTTAGTTGTATCAATAGATGTGTTCGACTTGAAGCAATGCTGCAGAGACCGATAAATACCGTGAGAGCGATTCGAAAGCATACGGAGACTTTCTTAAATTAGAAAAATTTGTATCTGAACTGTAAATCATGTTTTTTACAGTAATTTTAGTTTAATATGTTATCATTAGACATTTAATATGTTACCATAGACATTGCCCTACCACTCTCATGTGGTATTAATTTTATTTGTGCAGGTCTTAAAAAAAGGTATTTAAAAGTCTTAAATTTGAGCTTAACAATCCTGCAGATACCCTGTAAAATGGCAATCAACCTTTCACATGATCATAACTGATCTTTGCACTGCCTCCCCTCCACAGGCTGATGGGCAGCATGGCTTTGTCCAATCACTATCGCTCAGAGGACCTGTTGGATATTGAGACAGCAGCGGGGGGATTTCAGCAGAGGAAGGGAATGCGGCAGTGTCTTCCACTCACATTTTGTTTCCACACTGGCCTCAGCCAGTACATGGCCTTGGAGAGCACAGAGGGACGAACACGCAGTGAAATCTTCTATCAATGCCCGGTTAGATCACCGTCCTCAGACCACAACAATCTACGGTAACACTTTATTTTAAGGTGTCCTTGTTACACGTTACATGTACTTACTATTGTAATAACAATTAATTATGCACAATTACATGCAAGTAACCCTAAGCCAAACCCTAATCCTAACCCTAACCATATAGTAAGTACATGTAGTTAATTAATATTACTCAGTACTTATATGTATAATTACACTGTAACAAGAACACCTTAAAATAAAGTGTAACCCAATCTACCATGCATTTATGTAGGGCTGGCGAACAGTTTTGAAAAGTGAAACTGTGATGCAAACCACAGAAAGCAGGTTATATAGTAGCTGGAGGCTAGATACTAAGTGTTACAGGAATAGTTTACCCAAAAATGAAAAATTTGCTGAACTTTTTCTTACCCTCAGGTCATCTATGATGTAGATGAATTTGTTTCCTCATCAGAACATTTTTGGAGAAATGTAGCAGTATATCCACTTGCTCATCAATGAGTCTGCAGTTAATGGGTGCCATCAGAATGAGAGTTTAAACAGCTGATAAAAACACTACAATAATCACAGAGGTCCATCAATTAATGTCATGTGAATTGGAAATCTGTGTGTTTGTAATAAACCCATCATTGAGACATTTTTAACTTTAAACCGTTGCTTCAGTAAAATACGAGTCCCATTTGTAATACTGGTTTCTCCAGCAAAAAAGTTGTCTCGTCTGAATCAGGAGAGAAATATGCACAGACCATGCACCGCTTAAAAGTCCAAAATGGTTCAAAACAAATATGACTTTTTCACTTGAGGAAGTATTATTATTGATTATGGACTTTTTGCCAGAAGCGACGGTTTAAAGTTAAAATGCATTGATGGATTTGTTTCTTACAAACGCAACTTTTTCGTGTGGATTACTTGTGGATTTTTGTGATGTTTATATCAGGTGTTTGGTCTCTCATTTTGACGGCACCCATTCACAGCAGAAGATCCTTTGTTGAGGAAATGATGCTAAAGAGTGATGCTAAATTCCTCTAAATCTGTTCTGATGAGGAAACAAATTAATCTACTAGGATAGAAGGTAAGAGTACATTTTCAGCAAATTTCAATTTTGGGTGACTTACTCCTTTTAAAAGGCTTCCCAACTGCATTGTAGCTGATAGGAGGTGAAGCCCTTTACTGCATCAAGTACAGTCCTGTGTGTGCATGTGGGGACTCCAGCACTAAATAACAGAGAGGGATTTTTCTTGAATTGTTGCACTTTGACCAGTAGGAGGTGCTCTTGTCTTCTTGTGTATTACAGCCCTTCTTGCTAGCTCTCATTTATATGTTTTCTTCACAGGATCAACTGGCACAAGATCCCTCTGCAATTGACATGTTCATTACGGGTAACAAAGTGCAAAAGGCTCCATTAATACATTGCAGTTTTATCAGATCATATGAACTCTTCTCTCTCCTCTTTTCTTTTTTTCAGGTCCTAACTTTACTGAGTGGTTTACATCCTATGTTGACAATGTTGTAACAGGAGAATACCCCATCATTCGGGACCAGATCTTCAGGTGGTCCATCTTTCATTATCTTACACAGTAAAGTATGTACGGTGGCCGAGAAGTGCAAAGCAAATCACAATTCTGAAAACAAAATAACAAATTACAAACGCAAATGCAAGTTTAAAAAACAAAATAACAATTCAGAAAGCACAACAACAATTCAGAAAACATTATAACAAGTCAGAAAGCACAATGACAAATTCGAAAACAAATTAACAAGTCAGAAAACACAACGACAAATCCGACAAACCGGAAAAGGTAGGTATATTTTGAAACCGCCATTGGTTTGTGATTACTCACCGCTGACTGGACGAGACATCTGTCAATCAACGTATATGGGGTGTCTATTTACATTTAGTTAAAAGTGGCTGTAAATCATCAGCTTCAGTGATGCAGATGGATAAGCGCTTGACGTTGGCTTTTTGACGCGATCGACCCAGGTTCGATCCCACCATTTGCCAAAATTTTTTCTCCCTTTTCAAATCAAATCTGTGTCGATCATGTCAAAAAGCCAAGGACACACGCTTATCCATCTGCGCTACTCGAACTGATGATTTACAGCCACTTTTAACTAAATGTAAATAGACACCCCGTATACGTTGATTGACAGATGTCTCGTCCAGTCAGCGGCAAGTAATCCCAAACCAATTACACTGTCTCAAACTATACCTACCTCTTCCGGTTTGTCTGATTTGTCATTGTGTTTTCTGACTTATTAATTTGTTTTTGGATTTGTCGTTGTGCTTTCTGACTTATTTTGTTTTCGAATTTGTCATTGTGTTTTCTGACTTGTTATAATGTTTTCTGAAATGTTGTTGTGCTTTCTGAATTGTTATTTTGTTTTTTAGACTTGCATTTGCGTTTGTAATTTGTTATTTTGTTTTCAGAATTGTGATCTGCTTTGCACTTCACGGCCACCGTACGTATGTCAGCATTTGACATCACAAATGCCACATTACATTTTATCCCCTTTATGTTTGCTCAGGTATGTTCATGACAAGCGCTGTGTGGCAACCACTGGTGACATCACAGTATCCGTCTCTACCTCCTTCCTGCCAGAGCTCAGTTCAGTCCATCCGCCACACTTTTTCTTCACCTATAGAATCAGGTACTGCATAAATCCACACACATTATTTTGACTTTGTAATCTGAATCAGGCTATTTAAAAGCTGAGCTCTGCATGAATGCTTTCCCAGTCCTGATAAGTGATGAAAGTTTGCAGATGGTGATGAAAGTTACACTGTGATATTTTTGACTGTGATAAGGTGAAGAACCTTTTTTTTTGTTTGTTTGTTTTTTTTTTTGCATGTAGCGTGCAATATTGACAAAGGTTATGTCCCATTATATGAGATTTTGCCTCTGTTACATTCAACCAATAAATTAAATTAGAATAAGATAATGTTACCAATCAAATGAAATCCGCATCAACAACATCCATTTTTGCACTGCAGAAGTGGCACAGAAGCTGCATCTGAAATGGCATTTACTTACATTTACACCGACTGTTTAATGCAACTCAGAGGTAGCTTGAATGCATTTACAGATGCAAAAACAATGTTTTGTGATGTTGTTTTAATCATATATTTAATTATGAAATGATTTTGGATTTTTTTTTTAAATTAAACTGCCAGTTGGCAGCAAGTCACTGTCTTAATGAGGTGATTTGTTCAGTAATTCATTCAAATGGTTTGTTCAAATGGATTAATTCAATAATGAAGCACCCGATATGTGTTACTCTGAAAAGCAAAAGTTCAGCTGTCGTTTCAATTTAATTGTGTCTTATAACTCACAATGTTAACTTGTTTATTCCACTGTTTTATGAACTCGGTATGACATTTGAAATCGTGCTTTAATTTGGTAGAGAACAGCACTGTTGCTCATGTGATATTGCTTAACTATATCTTTTGGTATAAATACAAGTCAAAAACTCATTGGGGAAAATCATTCTTAACAGGCAATCTACTGGCATTAAATATCACATAGTGAAAGCATGCTCTCAAGATTTTTGCAAAATGAGTGACATACTCAATGTCATCTTGCACATTGTTGCACATTGTCCCAGTGTCTTACCAAAAAGTAGAGATCCCAGTGCTTGAGTCGTAAACCAAGTTCTTACTAAAATGATCAAGCTGCTTTCTGTTGTAACTTGCTGTAATGCAACACAGCTGTACTAAGACTTGACATATGATGATACATTGAGCTGAACCTATGACCTCTGAGCCGTGCCGTCTTGTGCATCAGGATTGAGATGGCAAAGTCTGCCCTGCCAGAGAATGCATGCCAGCTAGACAGTCGGTACTGGAAGATCACAAATGCAAACGGAAATGTGGAGGAGGTCCGTGGTCCTGGTGTTGTGGGTAAGAGCATATCCCTGTAAGTTGAGAGTAAATTAGAACAGCTCGCATTGGTGACACATATTTTGAATTATCAAGATGAGACATTCTGACAGCATCTTTCTGTGCATATAATTCATAGTGACAATTGCTCTACTTTCTAAAGAATGTCCTGCATCTGTTTTTTGCATATGATGTACATGCGAGTGCAGGTGAGTTTCCAGTGATGACACCCGGGAAAGTTCACGAGTACGCCAGCTGCACCACGTTTTCCACCACCTCTGAGTACATGGAAGGCCACTACACATTCCACCGGCTCAAGAACAAAGAGGAAGTGTTTGACGTTTCAATCCCACGCTTCCACATGGTGTGCCCACCATTCCGTGAATCAATGGTGCGGTCGGTGAGTCGCTATTTATATCTTTGTGTTATATCCAAGAAAAATGTATATCCAAGATGCTAATGTGTGTACATTTGTCATTCTAAATTCCTCATTCTGTGTTTGTCGCTCTCATTTAGAGCTCAGTCAGTGAGGTGTCTGCTCCTTATGATGATGAGAATTCATCGGACCCAGATGACTATGAGGAGGGAGAAATGCGTGGCATGAACATGGCTGACCCAGGAGGACGCTGCCCTCGGCATGTCTGATGCACTTTTACATGTCCCCGGCCAACACCCGCCCACAGATACTGATGCACAACACACTCGCACAAACGGGAGAGCAGGAGGACAAACAGAGCTTTTAGGCATCCATTGTTTATTGTACAGCGCTCTTGTGCCTGTCACCTCTTGAGCGTTTTCTCCCGTTTCTGTGGCCATGTGTCTGGTTGTGGCGTGTCTGTGTCTGTGCACGTCTGTGAACGTGTGAGATCATTGTACGTGAGTTTGAGTCTGCAAGTGTGGTTTGTGATTGAGTGAGAGTGCGAGAGTTTATTGAATGTGTGTGAGATTCTGTGAGATTGACTCTTTTTGCCTGTGTTTCACAATTACCTGCAACTTACCTAAAGGGATGGTTCAGCCCAAATTGAAAATTGGAATTTACTCACCCTTATGTTGTTCCAAACCTGTATGTCTTTCTGTCTCCTGTAGAACACAAAAGAATATATATGAGTATATTTTGTCCATGCAGTGAAAGTGGAGTCCATTGTTGTTTTGGACCCACTGACTTAAAATTTATTGACCAAAACAGTTTTTCTTCAAAATATCTTCGACAGTAGACATGATTGGTAGAAGTAAGACTGTCAAACAGGTTCGGGATGACATGGGGGTAAATGATGACAAAAATGTTAATTTTTGCCTGAACTATCTCTCTAAAAACTTACAATTACAGAGCACGAGTAGAAATTATGACACTACTATTAGCAGAAAAGTACACGCACACTGATTTGGGAATACTCACGGTGTGTGTATATATATATATATATATAGGTCTAGATATATATAGATTGAATGCTTAACAGAAAGGCTCAAATAAATTGATCCCATTCATTTCCTCCACAAGACCTCAGGTATTGTGTAGCATGTATGTGCTTGTGTATATATGTTTGTTCTTGTGTCGTTTGCACTGAGGGTTTCGGGGGCAGGCTGAGGTCCAGACCTTGTGAAGTGAAAGTTCACGCAAACAACAGCTAACCTGTGCAAGCAATCATTTAACTTTACTTGCTACTAGTTCTCTACTAGTTAGCTGTTCAGAGGTGCTTCTGCCCTGTTCTCAGAAACGCTGGATGGATGTAAACAGAAGATCAGCCAGAACACATTGGTGTACTGTAAAGGATCTTTTTAGCTTTGATTATCTTAAGGGCTGGAGGTTACACAGACTGGTGTGAATAACAAAAGATAATTTTATGAGAAGTTTATGGCATTATTGTGACTTTCCACATTTATCTCCTTAAAATCCTGTGCAAGAGGTACATGATCAGAAAATGTCTTTGTTGTACAGTTCAGTTTTTCAGAATGAAATCTAGGCAGACTTAAGAATTTCTTTGCCGTTTTCTTCCCCTTTCCTTCCTAATGGCAATGTGAGCTAATCTTGCCTAGAGATGTGTATGATTTTGATATTCATGGTTTGAATATTATGTTATCATCTTTGTAAAATGCTGTGCAGTGAGATTTTTCAACAGTTTGCTATTATGTTCTCTGTTTAGCCCTATTGAACCTCTGATTGGTTAATTACTCCTTTTTTATTTTGTATGTGTGAGGGTTTATTTTTATTTTTATTTGGAGTATATAAAAGGGTAATGGTGTATCAATACCGTGTTTCACTATCACATTATTTGTTTACATTCCCATTGTGATCAGGATGCTTTCTACTATAGAAGCACAAAGAGGCCATTGATCTATTGATCACCAGCCAGTCTCTGTGCTATTGTCTCATGCTCTGGAATATCTCTGAATACACCTATTGTTCTCACAACACAAAACATAGTCAATTTTGTCACTCTGACCCAAATCCTAACCCTTACCCACCCCGATGGTGTCAGTTGTCATGGCAACATGTTGAAGAGGCCTTGTTGTAGTCCGACTGATGTTTCTTTGTTAAGCCGTTTTGTTTTTTGGCCCACATCTTCTCCCATCTCTTTACTCATTCATTTCAACTATTCTGAAAGAGAGAAAATGCTAAATTTCTGTAACGTATTTTAAGTACTTTGTCAATTCATTTTCCTCAATTCCTTCAAGTGCCCACACTAGGGCCAGTACATCAGACATGTAGGCTTTTTAGGGCAGATGACTTCAAATCACAATTCGTTGCACACCAGTGTATGTTTAATGGCCCTTTATGCCTACATGGGATTTGTGCTGAGTGATTTTGATCATGTGCGTTCTCTTACTGACAACCTCACGTAGTTCAGCTATTCTTGTGCTACAGCAGAATGAGTCCTCGTGTGACCCCGTCCAGTAATGAGCCATCCAGAAAGCCAATGTCTGCTGAAGCCTGACCTAGTGGTGTGGCCAAAAGGTTGTGAAAGAATAATTGTTTATAAATTATTGTATTTTTAAAAAAATTGCATATACATAAGAATGTAAATCCTATGCTGATTTGGCATTTTATAAGAAGGAAAAAGAATATTCAAGAAGAACTAAGGGCATGAGCATGTAGCATAAAGTTAGGAGTGCTGATCAACAGGAGCGGCTCAACTCAGAAAATGTTAAAAACAAGAACTGTAAAGACAAATGAAATAGAAAATGACATAAATTAGCTAATGAGAGACTTTGTGTCTTGTTTATGCAAGTAAGAATATAAGCATTGTACATGCATGTTGAACGGTGGGATGGAAAACTTTAATATTCAGCTTTCAACCACATATTGAAGAAAGATTATAGAGAAGGTTCTCTCATTGCAGGTTCATTTCTAAAAACAGAATAGTGCTGGAATTCAGCAGTTACAGAAATCACAATGCTAAACTATCAATATTATACTATAGCATAGCTCAGTTTCAGGGAGACTGTTCACTGATAAAAAAAATTCTGCTTGATTTACTTAAAAAATATGATGAATTTTTTTGCAGTTTTATTACGTAGATCGAACAAGACCAGTCTTTGTACAAACTACTTAATTTTTCTGTCTGTTGAAAGAAAATTTGCACATAAAGTACACTTAATTTTAGTATTTCTTTAGTCATTTTTTTGTGTGTGATCTACATAACTTTAAGAGTTCTAAATGTGTATTTTTGATTGAATCCAACTTAATTTTTTAATTTCCCTATTACAAATTTCAAGTGGGATCTACTTTGTTTTTCCAAATTTGTTAGTGTATTTTAAAGTTACATGTACTCAAATTTTCTAATTAGCAAGTATTTCTACTGAAACTATAAATGCAATTAGTTTTTTTTCTTTTTTACAACTATTTACTATTTCACCACTGGTACTTTTCAATGGAATGCCAGTAGAATGTATACTCCTAAAATATGGAAATCTAGTTATTACATCACATAAAGCTGACATTTTTGCCATTTGATAGTAAAAACAGCACATAATATTTTCTATACAATTGTGTTTTTCAGTCCTTAACAGTAACATACTCGAAGACTTTAAAACAAGAAGCACACAAACATGATCCCGATGTGAAAATGAAGCAGATCTTCTTATAAAGCAACATTTTATTTTCTTTGTGTTTCTATTGAAATTCACATTGTGCTAAATATTTTCCATGAGTCATGTTTCTCACTTCTTAACAGTCATCTTTCCTTCAAATGCACCTTGAACATTAACAGACTCACAAACATGGTCCGAATTCAGTTTCTTTGGAAGTGAACCAATCAGCTGTGCCATGTGATGCCATAATGATATTATGTATATATACGTATATATATATATATATCAATAAATAGTGACAATCCTTCAGTATGCATTCATAAAAAGTGAGAGGGCAGAAATGTGTTTTCTTTACCTGGTAGTCCTTGATTAACTCCTCTGTCTTTTCACCAAGGTAGAGAATGAGGCCTCTGATCGCAGTTACTCTTTGGGACTCAGTGCTGTTGTCCTACAAATATATTAAATATGAGATTATCTTAAATGCAGAATAGAATGCTACAACATTAAACTAACTACTACAATGTTAAAAGTACATGCCTCATTTATGATGCCATTTGAAATGAAAAATGTTTTTGTCTGGCCCATGAGCTAACTAAGTTCATTTAACTTTATCCTTCCATTTCCTCACTACAATAAACCAATTTATTGAAAGTTGCATACCTTTATGCAGTGTACTTGACAAGAGAATCACCTGGTAAGGACACAGTGTTATGGTTATTGACTGATCAGTGCAAGAAAAACAAAAACATAGCCAATAATTTAACTATAATTAAAAATAGTTTCAAATTTTCTTCTCTCCACAACCACTGCAGGTGGTTGACCTGCTGATCAGACAGCAGAGTGTCTTCAGTTGGAGGCTCCTCCAACTCCTTTGTAATAAGAACAGTACAGAAAGTCACTCTATTCCTACCAGCCATTCCTAATAATTCTATATAATGACTCTCCTCTGCAAGGGCAGAGGACTTATATCTGACTGACACACTGTGATTTGCACTCCTTATCCAGCTACCATGTATACTTCTGTACATTTTTATACAGTAGGTTCGTTTTTAGTTTTTTGTATATATATACATGTGTGTAATCCTAGGGCAAATGTGCATCATCAATTACCGTCCACTAAAAGTGCTGTTTTGTAAAGTAGCATTTGAAGTATTTTTATAAAAACAAACAAGCAAACAAAAAATATATATATTCTTGGGACCTTATGTGAATTATTTTATCAAATTAGTTTGTGGAATAGAATAGCTCATGGCAACATGTGCATTAGAGCTACAATTAGCATCAAGCTACATAACACAATTTAAAAGATGAATATTACGCTTTTACGAAAAATTCACTTTAAACCACCATAGACTGTTTGTATTAACTTCTGATCGCGATCTAGTGTGGATTTTAGTCATGTTATTGAAATATATGCTTAGCATTTATAATAATCCATTATTGATATGAAAATAGCTCCAATCACATGAAAATCACACACAAACCATACTATAATCGTGTGCGTATTACCTCCTTGTTTCACATGTAGAAATATTGGGTTTGTTTTTCGCGGAACTCAAGTAGGACAGCGTCATCCAGAAGCACCTACAAGTGTAGCCATAGTTTAGTCCACGTACAACAACGTTATCTTCAAATTACACATAAATAAAGCCTCTTTTCATACATCAATTCCAAAACTGTAAAGACAACCAACTATAACGTCACTTTGCTAACTTTATTCTTACCTTAAGTTTAGTGCAGACTTCTCTTCGTCTGGAATGTGCAGGGTTTCCAAACCAAAAATGCGAAGGGAAGTAATTATTTTGTACTGAGTAAATAAAACAAGGTTATAGTTTGTTATGTGTGTGTACCTAAGAAGATTGGCTGGGATTACGTAGATACATTTTGTAAAGGAAAATAATGCACAATGTCTTGTATTTTGAACAAATGCAGAATAATTCACAACTAGATATATTCATGTAACGATACAAACTTGACATTTTATTGTTAATATCACAGATTTAATTACGTAACATTTACTTCCACTCAGATTCATTTTTTTCAGTGTTCCTGCCATAATGTTCAGTACATTACTTGTGATTAATCAGTTCTTATAGTGATTAATTGTTATAGCGATATCATTTTTATTTCTTAAATTAAAATCAACACACAACACCTGATAATATACTGTATTACATTTAAATATTTTAGGACAGTAGAGTGGTATACAATTAAAAGCACAAAAGATTCATTGAAGAGCATTGTGGGCGTGTTTAAGAAAGTGTGAGTGGCTCAATCTCTTCAGTTTTCAGACTGGTTTGGATGTGTCTGTGGTTGGATTCCTTCTTCACACTGGGGTAAGACTACAGAAGGGTAACTGAGAGATTATGGCATACTGCTTAGTATATTCTTCGCTTGTGAACCAGGCTGATTTAGATTGCATTTTTACAACTTTTAAAAAAAACTATAAAGCATTAAACATGTTGACTTTTTCCAGAGACACAGTTTTTCTGAGGTCATGGTAGAAAATTATGATAAAATGTGTGACATTTGATTTAAGGTAGTCTATTGGTTTCGGTTTTACAAATACTATAGATTCTGAAAAGAAAATCCATCAATCAATAAGTCCTTAATTTAATAAAAAGGAGACAAGCTGTCAGCTGGGTCAAAAAAATTCACATTTTTTTTGTTTGTTTAACACTTTTTTTGTGTGTGAATCCTATCCAAATTACAATTTAAATGAAATTGTTGGTTTAACAATAAAACGCTGGCATACATTAAGAGCAAAGTTCAATTTTAGAGTAAAAGGTTGAACTGTGTTCTCAGAATAAGAGTTTTTTTTCCTTCATAAATGTCACATTGTGGCAAGTGTTAGGCCATAAATATAAATATGTTACATATATTTTTATATGTATTGTAAATATGTGATTCAATATGAGTTGCAATAGGACGTTGATAAAAGGCTGACATGTTCAGAATTGTAGAATTCTGTATGAAGTTCAAAAGACAAAATACAGTAGAATAGATTCAATAATGTCTAAAGCTTATTGATTACAATACAAAATAACAACAAGCGAATAACAATAATAGTTGTGGTGGTAGTTGCAGCAATAATAGTAGTAGCTATAATAGGCCAAAACTGGATCTCAGCAAAACTATGTACTCCTTAGATGACCCACAACTCTTTCTATTATGATTATGTTATTAATTTAAAAAAAAAAGTCATCTGCTCATCATCATGTTGTTCTAAACTTGTATGATTTTGTTACTTCTGTGGAACACACAATAAATATATATTTTGAAGAATAATGGTAACCAAACAGTTTTGATGATGGTTGACTCACCAAACAGACTTTTCTCAAAATATCTTAATTTATGTTCCACAGAAGAAAGAAAGTCACACAGGTTTAGAAGAAAATGACGGTGAGAAAGTGAATTACTGAAGCAACTACAGGCATGGTGTTTATGCATTAACCTGTAACAAGTCTAAACATTAACACTGACCAACTTTATTTCCTAAGGATCTAAAACTATTTTTTTGAATTGAATTTGATTTTTAAATCTAAATTTTG